AACAACTGAAATCAAAGCACAAATTGCTTGAAATGTAAACGTCTTACGAGAAAGGTTACATTTTAGTTTTAATGTAAAAAGCAAGTTCCCTGAAAAAGTAGAAAATAATTTATTTGCAAGAAATGTAAACTAAACCGTTTATCGCATCTGTTTGGGTGAAATTGATCACTATACGCGGATGATCATTATAGCCGTTTTTTTTTTCTTTTTTATGTCTCAGGCAGATTACCTTTTGTAATTTATTGCATGAATATAAGGTAACAAAATGGACAGCATTGCTACATACTGAATTTTATTGACTCTTTCAAAATACAGTACAGCTGTTTCAAATGCTTTTCAAATTATAGTACTGCACAAATTAAATTACTGAACTGTGTATAATTCAAATGCAGTTCAGTACTGTACATAAAGTATAGCTTATTGTAGTTTTACTACTGCATCTGGGTGGCTCGTTTTTGGCGGTTTATCATAAACTTTGATGAGTCTGGTTTTCTCTCAGTTACGAATATAAAGTAACCGACATGGGCAAGATTACATTGACTAGAGCAGGGTTATTCAACTCACGGTCCTCGAGGTCCGAGCACTGCTGGTTTTCCAGTCTTCCTTTACCTGTCAGTCAGGTGTGAAGTCTCTGACCAATCAGAATCAGTAATTATTAAACAACTACCTGGGAGAACAGAAAACACGGCCTGGATTTGGAATCGAGGTCCAGAGTTGAAGAACCCTGGACTAGAGGTTCTGAGTTGGTTAATTTTCGATTAATTGCCCAGCCCTAGTTCTTGCTGAGGATGATGGTCGATTGTCATGTCAACAAAGAAATGAGGCAGAAATGGCTGTAAAGTATTTTGATAATGTTTTTTTTCCCAATGGCAAATAATGACATGATATTTTGGCGTGTTGGTGGGAACCTCACACCTTGCAGGGATGGCGGTTTGAATCCGACCCGCCAGCTTCCTCCATGTGCCCTGATCTCCTGCAGTGCAGACATGAATTAAACTGACCATTATGTCTGTGAGTTTTTATATATATATATGAGTATATATGAGTGTCCGTGCATCCTGTCCAGTTTGGGCTCCTGTCCTGCGTGTATGCTGCCTGGGACGGACTCCAGGCTGCCCTCATCCCCGTGACCCGCCACCGGATACACACTTGATGGATGGATGGATGGATGGATGGGTGGAAAGAATTTATTAAAAGATATAGGATGTGTTCAAAATTATATATTTTTAAATTGTATCTTTAACCACATTTATCTGCAGTACATTTGCCTCTGAGGATTGGACGATGTGCAGTTTTTTTTATTATTATTGCTTTTCCTGCATTAATAAAATGTTGTTATGAGCGCCCTCTAATGGTGATATTGCTTCTAACAACAGCAAACAAAATGGCTTGTCAGATCACATCCTGCCTTACACTGGAGAATACACATTTTGTTTCCAGTGTGGTTCAGGTCATTGATACTATTTTGTGGTTAAACCAAACAATTAAATCTCATTTCAAATACTTAAGGTTTTTGTTGCTTCCCTTGCGACCAATTTGTACCCAGTTGTTCCCTAGTTTGATACTAACCAGCTGGTCATGCCATTAACCTCAAGTAAAGTTTCCTTTATTCAATTACGAGGCAGTGATTTAATCCTTCTGTGCTTTTCTCAAAAAAGAACTTTGAATTTGCTGCCAATGGCCGGTCTTCCAATCTGCTCCTGCTTGCATTGGCCCAAGTAATGGAGGGAACACGTCTGTTTGGAAATCTTTAAAGAAATGTATAGAAATTCCTCGGACGCACAGCGCTTCTTGTGCCTGTATCCTGTTTCCTAGAGGAGCTTTGGCAATCTCCTGCCTCTCATTCCCATTCACCATTTTCGGTGATATACTTGCATGCAGTGGGCGGTCCGGGCCTGGCACTGGTGGGGGTGTAAAAGAGACCTTATCTGAGTGGACAGGGGCATCTTCTCTGGGTTCTGATGCTGGTGATAAGATAAGGACCTGAGGAGGCAGCACTTCTTATGATACCACTTGCCAGCATGGTCACATGACAGTCACCCACCAATAGCCGCCTGCGGCTCCCTGAGTAGGCCGCTGCAGGGTCATGGTCTGTTCTGGCAGGCCAGTGAATATGTGTGCGTTCCATCTCCTATCTGCTGGCGAGGTCGCCGCTGAGAGAGAAGGTTGAATTCACTCCCTTAGGCAATCAGCGAGTTGAATCGATCCTTTGAGTGCATAGCAGAATGAAAACTTGGTAGTTAGACAGCTGTAAAAGGAATAGGATTAAGGAGTGCTAGTTTGCCCCGCCCCCAGTGTCTTCTCATTGGCCGGGCTTGTTTTGCCTTCACCGTTGGATCACTCCCGCTCCCCCCACCCCTTCTGCAGTTGTCCCGTAGCCAGGCGTTTATCATGTCGCCTTGACCGTCCAGGACAAAGGTTAACTTTATGGTACCCATTATCCTCTGGCCTCTGGGTTTGGTCCCCCTTCGGTCTGGAGGTGACAGAAAGTAGCATTATGAAGGTATTACTTGTGTGGTTCCTTTATGGTGGTCCAGATAGCCACCACCTTCTCTAGCAGGGTGAGATTATCGGTGCCGATAAGGGCACGGCCTCAGGGCTCAAAGGCTGCAGGTTAATCACCTTCACGCTCTGCCTTTCTTTTCGCTTGACTTCTCCCGTCTGTGTGGACTCGCCTGAGAAGCACATGACCTTTTTTAATGTTTTCCTCCATCCTGGCAATAAACCGGAGATCTCGTGGAGAAGCCTGGTCCCAAGCCACACGCGGAGCTCGATAACAGGGATTTAAAAATGTGTCGAAAATCATCCCCTTGACCTTTTGAGGGCATCGATTTTCTGGAAAGTCAGCAAATGTTGACTCATGTTCAGCAAAAATTATTATTGTAAAGAATTTTTATTTGTTTATAAGCCAGCCATAGGCTGTAACGAGGCCATGCATAGAGCCCTATGGCCAAGCCATCGCAGGAGTTACTGCACGCAGGGTGTTAGGGTGTCCCTGCCTTGCAGCCTTGACATTGTCGTGTTGCATTAGTGCTAGTTTATTTGGTTGGCAGCTCGTACCCGCTGCAGGCCGAACTGCATGCGGATTGCACAGTGTGGTTTGCTGAAGCAGATCAGGATAAGAACCTTTAGGCTCGAACCTGCAATCACTTTGCACAGCTCTTTGACCGCTAACTGTGCATCTCTGTGTTACCGATCAGTGTTTCCCAATCAACAATGTGAATTCCGTGAGGACGGTGAGCGGCGCACGCGTTGCTGATCCCGTTTCTGCTGAAGCTCTGAGTCCCGCCCTCAGGGAGCCCGGGTGTGAGCTGAAGGAGCTTCCAGCTGTGACGCACCTCCACACACTGCGCCCCCCCTACGTGACTTACAGCGTCCTGTGGGGGGCGTAAGTGAGCTCGAGCCGCATCCATCTGCCTGCTTCCTATTCTGTAGTGTTCCTCCTATTAAATGTGCCGCTCTGGGGTCATGATTAAATTGTGTTTGCATGCGAGTCCCAAAGCAGTTGTGGGAAATCGCTGCCGTTGATCGTTCTTAATAAAATAACACAAAAACCAATAATAAATATGAAATGACCCCGTTGGTATGGACTTTGCGGTATTTCAGGCCATCTGTAAGTGTGAATGGGGGGGGTGGCCGCTACCCCTGCGGTCCCTAGAGGCTGCTCACATGCCCTGTGTTAAACATGCCGCCCCCTCAGTTGTTGCTGTGTGTCAAATGACGGCCTCCCACCCCAAAAAAAAAAAAAACCCTTTATTTTTCTTCTGGCTAGACGTGGATTATAAGCATTTGATTAGTTAACTTATTTAAGCCCTCTGACCTTTCACTTCACGCCGACTGTTTGTCCAGCGGACGCTCAGGCGAGCGGGAATCTTCGGGCGACGTTTGGGGGCTACTGTGCGGGGACCTGGGGATTCGCCTTGTACCTTTCACCCCCCCAAATAGCCTCCAGATGTCTCGCTGCCCCGTCGGCGTTACGGGAGGAGGCCCAACCCGTCCCAGACCCAGCCTGCTATTTTTTCCAAGTCGGCGGGGGGGGGGGGGTGCCATGCACCAATACATGGAAAAAGACTCTGCCAGCTTCTTTATCAACACTGAGACAAGAAGGGGAAAGAATCCGATCTCAGTGGCGACAAGACTCCCGATGTGGGGGAGAATGTTATGTGTTCTGAAGAATACCCGGTAAAAACGGACCCCCACCTCTCACCCAGACACCCCCAGACACAGTGCCTTGCGGTGTCTGCTGTCCCAGCTGGCAGCTGGGCCGGACCTAGTCGGGTCCAACTTGTGTTACTGTTATCCTGTGCTAGGGGGTGTTTGTTTATTCACATTGTTGATAATTGACTCTGTGGTCCGTTTAAGCCCAGTTCCAGAACTTTGGTGTTAGTGTTTCATTGTTAATGAAGAGGCTGTCAGTAGAGGTATGGTTACCAAGCTTTGCTCTTGGAAGGTCCAGCTCAGGCCTGTTTCAAAGCGTGGGGGGGTGATGGGGGTCTGCGTCCCCCAAAGAGTCTGACCCATGGGATTTGATTTGGTGTGTGGGGAGGGGGGGAGGAGATAATTAAGTCTCTCCTATTGTACTTTTTGGCAAGGTACTAGGTAACCTCACAATCAGATGTCCCGGGAGGGGGGGGGTCATCCAACTGCCGCTGTATCAGGAGGGGCGGGTGGTGGCTTGTATGGCTGAACTGAGAGAAGCAAGTAGGTATATGGGATGGATGGGGGTGCATGCTGGGTAAGCAAAGCTCCGGGGGCTTGCCGTGCCGACCGCCTCCCCAGGCGGAAATTCAATGGGAAGCGGCTACATTGGTAGCAGATGGAATGGCTTCCTGCATCCCGGTCACGCTGGAAACCCTAGACTCCTCCAAATTTGTTCGCCAGATTTACAGTCTGATAGAGCCGGTAGATTATGTGGTGAGGTTGGGGGGGGGGGGGGGGACTGTGGGTCCTGGGTTCTAACCGCCTCTTTCCTTTCCCGCTCCATGCTTCTCCTTTGACAGGCCATCTTCATGATTCCCACGAACCCACCTCCAACCTTCCGGAAGCCTGAGCTCTGGACCGACGAGTTCACAGATTTTGTGAAGAAGTGTTTAGTGAAGAACCCTGAGCAGAGGGCTACAGCTACACAGCTCTTACAGGTGTGTGTGTGTGTGCGTGTGCATGTGCATGCGTGGGTGGGTGTGCGTGCGCATGCGCGCATGTGTGTGCCAGTGTAGCCGCGCGGCTCCAGCCCACGTCCGCGGCTCCCACACTGCACCGTCTGCTTTCCGCCATGGAAGCCACAGTGCCTGAGCTCCACTATTCCCCGACTTCTGCCATGTCAGACCCACTAGAAAACACTCCACATGTCACCTTGCTGCCTCTTGGATCTGAAATATGTCGCTCTGGTAAAAATATGTGAGAGTTACATCCACAAGAAATTTAGACCTGTCCAATTTGTGTATTTTTTTTTTTTTATTTTTAAAAACCCAATTCCTGGCCCCTGTTCCTGTTTCTGATCTGGTCCTAAGCGTACGCCACTTGCGGGCTGGCTGCCCTCAGTCCTGCATCTTCACCGCGATGCAGTGTTGAGTTTGGCCACAGTTTCAGGACGTTGCAAATCACATGCAAATTTCAGCTTGGGGGCAAATCAGACGATCATGTTTGTGTGACGCACGGTGGAAGTCGGATTTGGACCCTTCCGCACCGCGGTGTTGTTTTTGCCTTAAAAATAGCTCAGAATCTATGTTCCAAATGTTTGCCGATCGTGCTGATTAGCAGAACAAAATAATTAATTCCGGAGTACCCTAATTGGGTCTCTTTGATACTTTTAAATCGCGGAATTTGCAAGAGGGAAAGTATAGATTTGACCTGGCAGTCCGTGTGGCATTGAGGTGTCGGGAGATGCTCTCGCTCCCCCACCCAGAGTGTGGGGCGGCTTGTTGGCCGACTGGTAATTGACGTTATTTTTGCCTGATTCCGGAGCCCTGAGCGCTGCCCAAGCTGTTAGTGTCCCCCGGCAGCCTCCCAGCTCACACTGCAGCGGGGAAGTCGTTACGCGGTTTCGGGTTTTATTTCCACCCAAGGTGGGTTTTGCAGCGCCACTTCTTAACGGCTTTTTAACGAGCGGCGGTTTCCCCCGGCGAAACCGTAAACCGGCCTGCCGTAATGTCGATGGCACTCATCCCCTTCCTTACCGCGGGTGTGCCGCAGCTGGGCTGAGAGGCACGGCTTCCTGAGTCAAGCCGTGGTCGTCGGCCGCTCCAGTCCCGATGCCGCTTTTTACGCTCTTCCTCAGCCCTTAATTGCTTTATTGGGGTCATTAATTGCACGGCGACTGAGTCACCTTGGCGATCCGGCTGTGAATCAGGATGTAAATCCATTCTGAGGGTTGTGCGATTGGCGCGATTGGCGCGATTGGCGCGAGTGCCGATTACCGATGTCGCCGACCCTCTGTGACTCCATCGCTGTATCTCTCTCTTCCCAAGCATCCCTTCATCAAGAACGCCAAGCCAGTGTCCATCCTGCGAGACCTGATCACGGAGGCCATGGACATCAAGGCCAAGAGACACCAGGAGCAGCAGCGCGAGCTGGAGGAGGATGAGGAGAACTCTGTAAGTCCGGGGCACCCGGCGACGTCATGGCAACTGGGCATTGCCACAGATAGAATTTCCGACCCCCAGCAAAACCTAAAGCCCTGGTCTTCTACCTCCAGCAAACACCTCAGCAATGACTTATCGACTGGAAGCGTAGCTCCTTGTCTGGGGAGAGAGGTGGTCGGAGTGTTGATGTTACAGAGGTGTTGCCCAGGGGCTTAGAATATTCCACTTCCCCTGTCTGATGCCTGTAGGACTGAGGGTGTCTGTGTTATGGGTGAATCCCTTAGCTGATAACCTAATGTGGTACATATATGCCCTAATATGTGTGGAATATTACGCTTAGTTTGTAATGTCAACACACAATGCTGCAGTAATGTTCGGTGCTGGCATCTCTAGGGAAGAGTCGATCAACTTCGGCAGACTGGACATATTCTAATGCAGGGGTGTCAAACTCCAGTCCTGGGGGGGCCGGAGCCCTGTGTAGCTTGGTTCTTTCCCTGTTCCACCACAAATGATTCAGCTCAAGAGCTGTGTGGTAATTAGCACAAGGAGTTGAATCAGGTGCGTTAAATGAGGGGAAACCCAAAAACGTGTAGGGTTCTGGTCCCCCAGGACTGGAGTTTGACACCCATGCTCTAGCGTGATGCTTGGCTTTGTTTTCTGCTGTCAGAACTGATGAAAATGCACTTTCAGAGCCTCAGATGCCCCCCCGAGTTCCTTACGTGAAGGGAGTAGCTGTGAGCAGCACAGCTAGATGAGGAGATGGTCTCGACTCCCAAACACTCTCGTCTCGTGAAGGTGGCACCTGTGCTGTACTCGTGTGGGTTGAGGCTGAGGTTGTCCTGCAGGGCTGCGTGTAGGGAACCGGGGGGGGGGCACCTTTGCCTAATAGTTACCGAGAAGACTTTAGTTGCCAAGTAACCTAATAGAAACATTGGCAAACAGGCATGTGCGGGTCTGCATCCTCTGACGGCCAGCTGTGTATGGAAATCTCGTTCTGCTAAATGAAGACCCCCCAGCCCCCCCCCAACCAGATGCTCGTCTGTCTTTTACTGGTCACCTGGACCCATTAGTCTCCCTGCTAGGTGGGTGGAGAAAGGCGTGTTTTCACACACGGTTCCTTCTCCTCCGCCCCCCCCCCCCCCCCCCCCCTCTCGATATGTCTTTGTCATGAACTTCAGGCTGCTTCCCCTGACAGGCCGCCCCCATACAGGCACGCATTGAATCGTGCTGCTCAGTTTAGCTGCAAGCTGCATTTGCTCACGCCGTCTTACTTTTCAAGATATAATGTCGGAATGGGAAGTTCTTTCAGGCGTGACTCTGTACCGTCTCAGTCACGTACCTGCCGTCGCTTGGGGGTGGAGTTTAGGGGGGGGGGGTGTGCTGTTTGGGAGCAGATGTGGGCATTTGCACTGGGTAGGGCCATGTAGCCCTTTACGCCTGATTTGCTCCCCCCTTAGTGATCAGTGATGTTTGGAAACACACCCCATGTAAGAGCATGTTCCCAGCTGAGTAAGTGTGGCCTGCAGTTCACGTCGTAATTAGGGCCTGATTTACACCAGGTGAGCTGGTTACGGAGCAGCACCCCCCCCCCAATGCACAATCTCAGTATCTGCTGTAAAATCCCTCCCCAAACAGCCTCTCCCCTGCAATCAGCCTGTGACCCATGGAGCGCCGCTCCCGGCCTGCCCCCCAGATGTGACCGGAATCCGAGGCCCGGCAGCCTGGCGAAGCCCCCCGACCTGGAAGCGGGATTAACAGACCGCCGCTTCCTGTGGAAATGACCAATTAGGAGTTAGGCTCAGCCTGCTTCCGCCGCTACCGGTTCAGATGCGTGCGCTGGCCCTGTAATGCGATTCGCTCTCGGAGATAAATGGAAGTGGTTTGGAACAGCATGAAATGTTTTTTTCTTAAAGAAAAACATCTGAGTGTGTAATTGAGCTCAGCCTTAATTGAGTTTCTCTCCGCCCCCCCCCCCCCGCCCCCCCAGCACACAGTGGTGCATTGTGTGTCCACTGCAGCAATAACGTACCCACATTCTGCAGGATATACGCACATTTCGTACCCCTCGCGTTTCCCCCCAGCAGAACTGCATTCTGGGAGTGATCACCTTATTTGACTCCGCGATCTGGCAGGGGAGTCTGTGGGTGGGAGCCTGGCCGTCAGCGCATCAGCCGTGAGCCGCCCTGCCGCAGGATCCATCTCTGGGATCTCTGTCATGCCAGGCCAGTTGGTGGAGCTGATCCCTCAAACCCGACGAGGCCAGGGTCCCCCCCTCGGCTCGGTTTGTGGGGGAGCCAAGCTGTCAGCCGCACTTTCGCAGCTGGGGGGGGCGCTTTACGGTTCCTTGCAGATTCGTGCCCCGTCCAGCTTCGTGATGGATGTCCCGGCTTCCTGTCCGCACTGTTTTAACGCGCCGCTGTGAGGCCGAGTCGTACAAATCTCACGCTGACGTCATGTGACTGTGGACGGCTCTCCCCATGGCGCTCTGTTTGCCAAGGCTACCCAGGGCATGCCCCCTCCGCCACCTCCTCCATTCTGTGTCTTTGGAGACCTCGCTGTCCTCATCACTTACTGTTAAACGCAGAACGGCACCAGAAACGTGTGCCTGTCGTCCCCCCCCCCACCCAGCTTCCCTTTCTCCTGTGGCCCATTTGTGCTTTAATTAGGCTTGTTGGAAGTCTAGTCTGACTGTCCTAATGCCCGTTAAATGCTTTTCCCAGGCAGACAGGAGGCCCTGCCCTGCACGTGTCGGAAAACTGATGTGCTCTGTTCTCTGGTGGGATGCATCGATTAGATTGCCAGTGTTTTTTTTTTTTTTTTGCGTGGGGCAGCATCGGCCTGCAGGGGGGGTCCTGATGATAATCAATCACCAGCCAAGTGTTGAACTGGGACAGGAGCAGCGGTCTCCAGATTATGGAGGGAGAAAGAGGAGCATTAGGGGGTTCGTTAGGGGAGAGGGGATCTCCCAAATGGAGCCCTATCGAACGGGACTGCAGTCGGATCACAGGTGAGGAGTCACGGCGTCGGTAGGGGTGTGAGAGGGAGAGAGGCAGGCGTCACGACCTGCGGGCAACATTTGGGGAAGGTCTGCCCGACCACACGCAGGCATGCCTGTATTTCACGATTTAAACATTAACGGCCATTTTGTCCCTGTCATCAGCCTTGGATGACTCTCCGCTTATCGTTATCTTGTTAGAGAGTCTGAGTCACCGTGTTGGTGCTTCTCGGTGATCTGCTTATGACCGTAGGTACTCTGCGGTTCTCATCCACTGCTTTGTGACGCGTGGTTAAAAGTTAACCTCATTCTACACGTTCGCCCGATAACTAAGTGATATTTATTTGCTGGGAAGAGTTTGACCTCTTTGACCTGGAACGTTCTCTGCAGATGGAGCGAGCCAGGTTTGGTGCTAATTGGACCTCGCGTAACCCATTCTGTACACACACCGTGTGATTCCCTCAGCCAAGCCCCCCCCCTGCGATTTCAGTGCCCACACCTCATTGTCTTTAAGATGGCACAGCACTTTGATAGGTGGCAGTGATGTCACCAGCAGCGTGATGTCACCGTGATGTCATCGTGATGTCACCAGCCGGTCTCATAATGACAGTATGGTGGTTTTACGTGAGAGTCTGTGTAGAGTAACTGGCCATGCCTTTGGCAGGAGGAGGAGGTGGAGGTGGACTCCCACACCATGGTGAAGACCAGCTCGGAGAGCACAGGTACCATGAGGGCCACGGGCACTATGAGCGACGGAGCGCAGACAATGATCGAACACGGCAGCACCATGCTGGACTCCGACCTGGGCACCATGGTCATCAACAGCGACGAGGAGGAGGAGGAGGACAGCACGATGAAGAGTGAGTCTGCCGACACCGGCTATTCCAGCCTCCAGTCATTACCCCCACACTGAAGCATGGCTTTTTGGTTTCCTTTGGGGGATGGGGGTGTTGGAAAGGGGGGGGGGGGTTTCTCATAAATTTTAGTCAGGGAAGATGTGGGTAAAGAATTCTGACTGGGTTTTATATTAAACGGTCCTGTGATTTATGATTCATCCATTCATCTTCTAACCACTTCTCCCAGTCAGAGTCGTCGTGGTGATTTACGGTCCTCTTTGAAATTTGGGAGACTTTTTTGGGCCAAAGAAAGGTGCCAGATGCCTGGCAAAAGTTCTGGCTTCAACATTCAGTTCTGTGTGGCTGCAGAGCCATAACTCCAAAATGAAGGAGGAGCTGGAGAGCTAGAGCTCTGCGCCTTGCACGGACCTTCTGGGTCATGCTGTTGTACCTTACACAAAATTGGTATGTATAGATGATCCTCCATGGACTATGCGACCATGTGTAGAAACACCTTTTCTTTAGAGTTTGTTGGACGAATGTTAGAAGCCCAACATTGTCCTCACATACATGCTGGTCCCACTGTAGTTTATACATCTGCCACTAGATGGGAGTGTTGCGCCATGTGTTTCTCATTGGCCTCCGTTTAAAATTTCCAGCCTGGTGTAAATTGAGCTGTAGCTCCTCAATTGGCTTTTAATTGTTCTGAAAACTGCAAGTCTCCAAATCTCAAGAGACTAAGAGTTGGAAGCTAGACTGTGGTTTAAAATGTCTCAGAATCCTATGAGGATAGCTCTTCCTTTCCAAAAATCCGACCCAGTTTGTAGCCCTGACCAAGTTACGTTCTTCCCCTCTGGCAAAGCATGTGTTAAAAGTGATTAAACTTTAATATAATGATAGCTGAGTTTGTGCGCTTGTGTGAAATGACCCGCTGTAGCCATTAGTCTGTCCCCAGAAGGATTATATAACCGAAAAACTGAATAATTCCTGTCTTGCAATTTAACAAAACAAAAGTTTTGCTTGCAAGAAATGCCGCCCACGTCTAAACCCCCCTCACAAAGCGCACAGTAGTCAAAAGCGGACAGAAACGGCACAGTGATGTTGTTTATGTAAGGCTGACAAATGAGTGTGGTCTCCATTTCTGCTTTGAATAAATAAATATTCAGAATGGGAGGTGGCCGTCCGCCGGGGGTCCGGGGAGCACCAGTGACTCCAGCTGGCGCACAGAGCTCGTCGGAGAGCTGGTGTGTCACTTGGAGCACTGGAGTGTTTGGTGCTGGTCATCTTGGGGGGTGTCGACAGGCCTGACAGTCCCGTAAGCCTGCTGGCCCCATTTGGGGGGGTTTGACTGCCAGGGACACACACTTCGTGAAAGTCACTGCCATCGCACTGTTTAAAACCCGCCAAGTGGGGGAGGGAAAGGCAGTTAAGTCCGACTTCATACCTGCATTTTTAATAATCTAGTTACCAGAGGGTAAAAAAATATCCGGCTCTTTGTTTGGATTAAAAAAAAAAAAAAAAGTTATAGGTGAGTTTTTTTATATAATGAAATAAGTGAATTGGCTGAAAGTGTAGATTAATATGAAGGACTTGTAAGGATCCGCACCTCCCTCTGCCTTTATCGCGGCCCTTAATCCATCCTGGACTGATGTCCCGCACTGTGTGTGGTGGGATATTGCGTCACACTGTGTCTTTGTGCATTGGCCTTGAATACGAGCGCTTTCCGAATGGCAGCCCTGCCGTAGATTCCAGCCTTGTGACGCTCGTGGTTTTTGTTGAGGCTCTGATTTGTTTCTCAGGCTGCCCTTCTCTGGCATTTAGCGGCTGTCCAGTCTGAGTCCGTCTGTCCAGTCTGAGTCTGTCTGTCCTTGTCTGAGAGCTTTGACTTTGATGTTGCGGTTTGTCTGTGTTTAAATTAGAATCAGTTTTATTTTGCTATGTCCGTGTATGTACAAGCAATGTGTGTACTTTTAGCATGTTCTGTCATGATTTTTGGTACTGTTGCCCTCCGAATTGAGCCGTTTCGCCTTTTATGTGACTGACACACCTGCAGTTCTGGCACCGACGATTTGGCTCTTTCGGATATCTGTCACTCGCTTCATGTTGCTTTGAAAACTCGCGTATCAAAGTCCCGATCGTCAGAACTCTTTCGCTGGACGACACACCTGCTAATTGCCATTCAGCCAAGGATGACTTTGCTGTTTGTAATTGTAATTTCGATGCTTCAAAGTTGACGTCCTGTTTCATGGGGTGTTTCCACTATTTTGTTTGTATGTTGTGTGTATATATACTACTGATTCAAGCCTGTATATGTGCATAACACAAGCATGCACAGAGCATAGTGTATATAAAATAAAGCATTACAATGAGTGCAATGAGTATAGGGCACTATTTTAACCTCTAAGTTGTTTTGGATAAAAAATAACGGGCTGTAACTTGGACGGCCTCGGCTGGGGTCCTGCTGGGTGCTGCTCAGAGGCCTCATTGTCCCTGCGGCGTGACACAGGACTCGCGGAAACCCGCGGAAACCAAGCTGGGTGCGGAGTCTCCCTATAGCACACTCATTATGGCCTGGCTGTCATTGTTTAGGATAATGTGCTGTTATTTGCTATTGTGTATGTGTGTGTGTGTCTGTCTGTGTATGCATGTTTTTTGCCTCGTCTCAGTGATTAGAAGGCACTACTGTGCACACAATAAGTGGAAACTAGGGTGTACCAACTGGGGGGGGGGGGGGGGGGGGGTGCAGGCAGAATTTAATAGAATGTATATTGTAGATAGACACAAAGGATGTAATCCAGGTCCTTATCCTGAGCCTGGTGAGAGAGGAATATGAGTCACAAAGGTTTTGGGGGTGGGGGGGGGCAGCCTCCAGAACAGTGGCATATTTCAGGGTTCATACTGATAAACTGGCCCGCAAACTGGAAAAGGAGTGTTTTCCGGGTGTTAGTGAGGGCCTGGGGGCAAATGTATGAGGACATAAGCGCTGTTTATTCCTGATGGTTACAAAGTAACTGCTCTGACTCGAACCTGCAGGTTTCTGCTTAGTTCAGTGTAATAGGTTGCCGGACCAGCGACTGCCCTTGAATGGAAACCGGCAGCGTCTGATGAGAATGGAGGCAGCATTCAGTGTCTTTGTTCCAAAAGTGGGCCGCTGTCTGTGCGGATTGTGCTAAGGGCCAAAGTGCAGGTTCGAGTGTCGCAACACACACACACACACACACACACCCTTGAAGCTGGAGACATCGGGTTCGGAGACTCTGTGACAGTGACAGTGCCGCAGCAGAAAGGAGGGGCGTGAGTCTGTCGCCTTGCAGACGTGGCGTCACTGCAGCGGGTGTGAGTCTCAGTCGCCTTGCAGACGGGGCTCACTGCAGCGGGCGTGAGTCTCAGTCGCCTTGCAGACGGGGCTCACTGCAGCATTGGCGAGGAAGGAGTGTTTCTTAGCTCAGTTCTGGGGGAGCGTCAGTGCCAGAGGGCTTTATTCACTGTGTGTGTGTGTGTGTGTGTGTGTGTGTGTGTGTGTTATAGCAATGAACAGTTCTGTTCTCACGCTCTGTCCTGTGTGTGTCCGAGCCTTAAGCAAGTCCTGTATGGGGACTGTAACATTTATTTTTATTAGTATCAATAATAATGATGATGATGATGGTCTACATATGCTGTGGTTGAGAGAACAGTTAGAAGCAGATGGAAGAAATGATGATGTTCTTCCCAGACCGAACACCTGTCTGTGTGCTGAAATATGTCCGCCGGCTCTCCTGCGGCAAGACTGCTGTGATCGTTGAGCCGTCGGGAGGACATCAGATCTGACTGGCAGAGGTCCAGGTCACCCGGGGACCCTAGAGAAAGAAACGGGTTTTATTTGCAGGGAGAACAAGCCCTAAAGAGCCTCTCGGTCCCGTTGCCTAATGTTGCCCCAAGAACCTCATCAACATCTGCTGATCTTCATACGTATCACCCAGAAGGACAGAGCGTTCATCACTAAAGCAGTGAGCAGCTCCTACCGTGTTTGGCTCATAAAATAACAATGGCGCGGCCGTTCTGCTAGAAATGCTCACCGCAAGCAGCCATAGTAGCAGAGAATCCAAGGTGGGAGCTCAAGTGGGACGGGGCCACTTGGTATAACCAGAGGGGGGTGTCAGAATGCCAGGAATATGGAATGACGGGGAGTCAACATGGATCTAGACTAAATGGTGCACCTGCCGGTGGCGTGTACCTGCCGGTGGCGTGTACCTGCCGGTGAAGTGCACCTGCTCCAGTCTGATATCACGCCTGATTCCGTTAGAGATGAGAGCCCTTTTGCGGGACGGACCTTTCCCAGTACGCCTCCGCCCTCGGGAAGGGGGGTATTTGTGATTTATCAGCCCCTCCCTGACAGCTCCGAAAACACTTGGAGAGCGACTGGCTGCGCTGTTGTCGGCCTACATTCAATATAAGCTCCACACAGGAAACCTTCAAAGCTTTAGTTTCAGAATTCACACTGTATTGTTTTAACTTGCAGACAGCACAGTTGGTTAAAATGGACGGCAATAGGGCTGGCTGTGTGTTTTATTCGGTCTGAATTTGTTTGGCTTCCGTTCAGTGGCAGGAAGTTGCAAATCGGTTTGTTTCCACAACGGCATCGATCACCGGACCCACAGTATTAACATTCACAGGTGCTTTTCGATTGTTCCTGAAGTAAATGAGAGCTTTTAAACCTGCAATCTGTGAGGGACTGAGCAGAATTACAGGCAACTGAGAACCAAGAGGCTGGCCTGTTCTGAAGTGTAGTTTGACTTCTGGGGAGTGTTGTGGAAATGAAGGGTGTGTCTGCAGCTGAGTGTCCATCGAGGGGGAACAAATGGCGACCGTTTGTTAACGTTAGGGCCAGTGAGATGGTCCGCCGAACTTCCCTGGCAGATGGAGCAGATGGCGCAGTAAGGGGTAACGTGACCTCTGAGCAAATGCAATGTGACTGGTACAAACCCCCCCCCCCCCCCCCCCCA